GCCTGTAGTCCCAGCTACTTGGGAGCCTGAGGGAGGAGAATCGGTTAAGCCCATTGTGAGTTGTAATGCTGCTACCCAGTGTGACATAGTGAGACTGTCTCAAAAAAAGGCAACAATTATAACAGTTTTCTGATACATTAATGTGTGGTCTTTTGGATTGCAAATGAGAATAATTAACAGTATCTTACCATTATATGTGGCAGAGTAAATTAACATAGTTTTAGAATAATGAGATTCTGCATTTCTTGAGTTTTAGGTTTAAATTTACAATGAAATTTAGTTGCATTAGGTGTTATTTTCATGCAGTATGTATGTAATTTTGCAAAGTCTTTTGCACTATTGAACATATCCCTGTTTCTGTAAGATTGAGGGTATCAGTAACTGAGGAATAAAGGAGTCCTTAAGCTTAATAGTCTCTAACCGTGGGAAAGAAATTCTCATAACCCTGACAGGAGTGTAGCCATTTTAGAAAAACAGGTCAGGAAGCAGCAAGCCCCCTCCCCAGACTTCTGGAATGCTTCAGGGACAGAGTTTCTGAGGAACAACCTACCTGTGTCCTGGCCCTAGAGGTGAGCACCTGGGTGATACGCCAGGCAGCTGCCCTGACATAGACATCAATGGAAGAGAATGACTCCAGTCACTTACCCATATCAGCTATACTGATAAGGCTAATGAAAGCTTTTTGCTACTGTGTGGTAGCTAAGCTGACTCCTGGTCAGACTCCACCCTGCCCTTTTCTTATCCCTGGACTGGGCTCCTCTCCTTGCAGATGTTGTCCTGTCTCCAGGCCTAAACCTCTCATCTACTGTTTTAGGTCAGTGGAAAGTCATGCCTTTCTTACAATTTTTATGACTCCTGTTTCACACAGACAGAAATTTTTTCATGTGCCTTTCTCATTATATTAAAATGTTATTTTTTTAAATCTTGAATTGACAGTTTTGGGGAAATGTTTTAATAACTAGGGCTAATCATAGTGATGAAAAATTGAGTTCTGGGTCTCTTTCTATAATGAAATTAATTTATTGAGTGTCTTTGAACTTAGAATTTTATTTTAATAAACCCAGCTTGAGAATCTTAAAATAGTGGTTATCTATATAAATTCAGTCTAGACTTTCTTCATCCCATTATTTAAAGTAGGTTCAAAAGAATGTAAAACTTGCCCTTTATCAAACTTTCCACAACAGTTTCTTAGATACTGCTTTAATATGAAGAAAACTTGAAATAAAAAAATAAACCCACTTCCCAGTGAAGCCATTCTTTAATAGCTAGAATATCACAGTGCAGTTCTATCATGAGCCAAGTTGGTACAGAGATGAATAAGGTAAGTTTTCTGCCCCGAGAAGTATGGAAAACAAAGATATAAACAAGTAATTTTAATATAATTAGTATTTATAAATAAATGCTGCACCAGTGGCTTAGAAGAAATACACTTAACTTCACCTTTAGGGGAGGCTTTCTGAAATGAATCCTAACAGATGAGTGTGAGCTAGATTAGTGGTTTTCTAACTGGGTAGTAACTATTAGTGGTCCATGTCAATGCAGTGGTCATGACTAGCATTTTTTAAAAAAAGAGAAGAGAGAATTTATTCAATTACGTGGTGTGTGTACGGGTAAGTTTTATCTCATGAAACTTGTTCACCACATAGATACACAAGTTTGTGTGACTGCTATGTGAATATCCTTCCTAGTGTGGGTTATGGACCCAGAAGTTTAATAAACAGTCACTAAGCTAGATGAGTAAGTCGGGCAGATGTTTCAATGAAGTCATTCACACAAGCAGAGTTACAGAGGGAATGCACTGGGAGAGTGTGCAGGTGAAGTGTGATGCAAAGTTTATGAGTGGTGAGACAAATAGGCCATAGATGCCTTTGTACATGTGTATTGTGCTTAGAGAGGTTAAGAGGAGCATTTGCATAGCATGATTAACCTGGGGCTGTAGATCTCTGTCTGGATTATGGAGGGTGATTGACTGGGGAGTGGTGTGGTATTGGCAGTGGGACTTGATTGGAAATGTGACATTGAAGGATTATGCACACTTGCCCTTAGAGATAGGACTCATGGAAGTGGCTTGTGGGAGAGCTAGCTTTTAATTAAGGCAGGATGATGGAGGAAGGGAACATTTGTTATTTTTAAGCAAATCACTGTAGGGAGTCTGCAGTGGGACTGGAAGGTTTGGGAAGAATAGGTAGAAGAGGTGTGTGGGATGGACAAAAAAAAAAAAAAGACATTGGGTGAGGCAGAGGATTTTGTTGTGAGTTGTGATTAGATGTGCTGCAACTCCAGTGCATGATGAAATTAGCTGAATGCTTGTCTTCTACCCAAAGACCATCCCAAGACACACCAAGTTGAATTGTTTCTCCAGTCATTAAGGAAGAAAGCTGACCAAGGAGAACTTTGTAGCATCTCAGTAAGAGGGTTTTAGAAAGAACTTGTCAGAGGCTTGTGTCAAGTGTTTCTGGAGAGATTTTAAGGCAGTGGGGCTTTGCAGTGGAGTAGATACTCTCAGGAAGCAGAATTCTGTGATTTGATGTCTTAATAATTCTTATCTAAAAGGTGAGAAAAGTGTAAGACTAAACCTGATTGATTGGCAAGTAAGGAGCTGTTACTCACATTAACTATTTTAGGGTGTTCCTGTTTGTTTGTGATCAGATGATTACAGGGTTGTCTTACTTTGTCTCTAGCCATTGAGGCCAAGAATGTCTCCATTCTTGTGTTGTGGCCATCAGCGTCTGCTGTTGATGTTCTGTGAAATGATTTGTGTTCCACAGGACACCAGGGCCTAGTTGTGAGTGATGGGACAACCTGTAACAACACGAGCTTAGCTAGTATTAGGCCCATTTCTGGGTGTCACTCTCACCAGGTTCCATATGGCATCCTTTGGTCATGTGAGTATCTTGTAGCACTCTTTGTCTTATCCTATAGTTACAGAGGAATCAGCTGTGTAGTCACTTACAGTAGCTCCATGTTCATATGGTTCTACCAAGAGCACAGCAGTGAGTTGGATTGAAGCATCATATGCAGATTATTTCTTGAAGGATCTTTGCCATAACATTTATTGTAAGTGGTGTAATAGGTTAAGGTTGTCTGATAGTTTCATAGTTTAATTCATGAATTTATGCCTCAACATCTATATGCAAAGAGAAATACTCACAAGAACACATTACCATTTCTCAACTGTTTGTGTAAACTGGGTAAAAGAATTTGCTTTTCTCTTTGGTAATAATTCAAATTTATATTGATGACTTGGAGGCACTGTAGAATTTTGAATTATTTCCTGAATAAGCAAAGAAAAATTCTGCAAGTTCCCTGCTTCCCACAGTTCTTACAGGCATTCTGCTTGTAAGCAAGTCATTTGACATTTTGGGGGCTTGTTCTCATTTTTCATATGGAAAGCCTCAGTTAAGTGATCTCTCCTGTCCTTACTGGATGGAAAAGCCTTGGGAATCACTTCTGTGATTCTTAAAAGAAACACATTGAAATAAAAATCTTCTTTCTCTCATCTCAGAATTATTTGTCAAAGAGAACCATGAATTAAGAATAGCAGGAGGTGCAGTGAGGGATTTATTAAATGGAGTGAAACCTCAGGACGTGGATTTTGCCACCACCGCTACCCCGGCTCAGATGAAGGAGATGTTTCAGGCGGCTGGGATTCGGATGATAAACAACAAAGGAGAAAAGCACGGAACAATCACTGCCAGG